GCCTGGACGCCTGAGCCGCCGTTCGGCGCGACCTCCGCGCGGGAGAAAGAGCCGGCGCCGCGCCGCCGCGCTAGAATGGAGGCACCCAGCGGCAGCGGCCACAGCGGCGACGGGGCTGGGGACAGTGCTCACCCGGAGCCCCCGGCCCCCGGTGCCGCAGCACCCAGCTCTGGCCCCGGCCCGTGCGCTGCCGCCCGGGAGACGGAGCGCCAGCTGCGCCTCCGCCTCTGCGTCCTCAACGAGATCTTGGGCACCGAGAGGGACTACGTGGGCACCTTGTGCTTCTTGCAGTCGGTGAGTGGCTCCGGGCGCCAGTCCTGCTCCGGAGCGCGGAAGCCTCTAGCCCGGGAGGGTCCTTTCCAGGCTGTGGCCGCAGTTCCCGGGGGCCGCGAGAGGTTCCTTGGAGGCTCCCCGCGGGTGCCATAGAAAAGTGGGGCGATTGTGATTCTCCAGAGCTCTGCTGTCGCCTCCCTGGCCGGCCCGCGGTCCAGCGCCGACCAGGGGTCTCCTACACTCCTTTTCGCCCCGGCATGCTGCCCTTTTGTCTTTTTCTCCCCCCTCCCCGCCTTTCAAATAGTTTTAAAATTAGTTACATCCGCGAGGCAGGGGCTCTGGGACCCAGGCGCCGGCAGCTTTTGCTGTTGCGTCTTTTCTTGGGGAACTTGTTCGCCTCCTGGTGCTCCGCCGTATACTCATCTGGAGGTGGAGCGGCCCCCAGGAATCAGAGGCCAGCGTCCCTCCGCGTTGAGCAGAGGAGGGTAAAAGCTGAAGCCCAGAGGTGGGACGGAAGTGGGCAAAACCCAGGAGACCCTCCTCCAAACCCTCCGCCGCCACCGCCAGAGTCGAGCAGAGGTAGTTTCGAACTCACGATTTGGCGGTCTAGGGCCCCACACCTCACAAATTGCAATACCGGGCTCAGACACTGCTTGTAACAACTGAGCGCTTTCTGTGTGCCTGTCACTTACATGTGACACAAAGCTTTAACCTTCACAAGTGGCACATAAAGTAGGGACCAGTATTCCCACCCGCCCACCTCCCCACCCCCCGTTTTTAGCTTGGGCGAGTTAGCTCCAGAGAAGTTGACTGACTTGCCCAGAATCACACAGCTGGTTAAGTTGGGATATTGCCAGAGCAGTCCGTCCTGTGCTCTTAACCCCTGTTCTGTGCTGCTTTCTTTTTTGTTCTCCCTGTAAGAGGAAGGAGCTACTTCTCTACTCTCTTAGGAAGTGAGAAAAGTGACTAGGGGCCAGAGGAGGTGGGACAGGGCAGAGCCTTGGATGGGAGTTAGGAGACTCAGGGGCTTTCATCTCCACGCCTCCTGCTGGGACTTCATTTACTGCCCTCCTTTGCTCCAGGAAGTCTGTTAATCCTGGCTCAGGAAGGGCCGGTGGGGGGTGGTGGCTCCTTCAGAGACCCCAGAGCTGGGCTCTGCAGCTCCCTGGCTCTGAGAAAAAGAGGGAGAAGCGAAGTCTCTGGGCTCCCAGTGGCTTGGGGGTGCACCTGGGGCTGTGAGAGATCCAAGTTCCACTTCTGGGAGGAGAGAGTCCTTCTCCCTGGAAAAGGACAGGAACGTGTATGTGTGTGTGTGTGTGTGTGTGTGTGTGTGTGTGTTGGTGGGAATGCAGAGGCCCTGAAAACCACTGGGTCCAGGGACCCTTTGTAGAAAGGCTTGTAAGAATAAGACACTTGGCTCCCTCTCTCACAGTTAAACGTGCTCCGTGGAAACTGGCAGTTTCTGAACTGAAGCTGTAGACGACCCTGATCTCTGTCAAATTCTGGGGAACTCCTCACTTCTCCTTCCCAGCGGCTGCCTGCTCATCAGTCAGGAAGGGAAACAGGAAGCACAAACAAATTTTTATTTTAATGGGAGAGAAAATACACCTCTCCCATGCTCCTGTCCTAAGTGATGTGGTTTCCAAAGAGATGTAGATTGTGTTGGGGTTAACGGTGGTTTTAAACTGTTCATGTGCAGAATCCAAGCAAGTTGGGATAATGGAAATTGATTGGGATCAACCATTCTTGTTTCTTCACGAAACAGAAAAACCAAAACAACAGATTTCTCTAGTTCTTTATTATCGCCTTGACACTGTATATTCTGAGTTCATCCAGTGATTTTGTTGCTGATGTGTCTGTTGTGGGATGAACTGGTTTTGAGTCTGACATCTCAGACCTAGTATGTCAACTGTCCTGGCCTCAGTTTCCCGATCTGTAAAACAGGGAGAAGAGAAACCAGGCTTCCTTCTGGCTTTGTCTTTTTGGGTATCCCTAAGCTGGTGCCTGGTAGCATAGTGCCTAAGGCACTTGACTGCTAACCAGAAGGCTGGTGGTTCAAGCCCACCAGTCACTCCTCGGAAGGCAGGTTGGACAATCTACTTCCGTAGTGATACCGCTTCGGAAACCCAAGGAGGGATCACTATGAGTCGGGTCAGACTCGACGGGAAATAACAATAACAACAAGCTTCCAGAAACAGACTGACTCTGTAACTTGACCAGGTGCACCTCGGTGGTCAGTGAAGGCACAGGGGTCCTCTTTTGTCTTACTGTGTGCGAAATGTCCCCTAAACAACCTAAGGCTTTTTAGTTTTGAAAAGCCAGGGTTTAGAGCTTTAGGAACTGCTAATTACCAGGCTCTCCACGCAGCCAGGCTGGCAGCTTCCAGGTTGTGCCTTCCCACTCTCTCCTCCCAGTCTTCATATTTGCTAAGGGATTTTTTTTCCTTCTCTGTGGCGCTTGGTTAGGAAGCATGCACGGTAATCCCTCCCTGCTTTTAATTCCATATGGTAGAGGCAGGCCTCACAGCTTTCCTGGGCTCCTTGTGCCTGGTTTCAGGGCTCCCCAGCCAGTGGAAATTAAGCCTCTATGATAGGCTGAGCATTGTGCGTGCTGCCTAAAATCCAGGTCTGAGTTCGTGCCCTCAAGGAGAGGACAGTCCAGTCTAGGGTGCAAAATGGGGCTTGAAAAAAATCCCAGTGCAGACCAGGTTTGCTGGTCCAAGAGAGCCTGGGGGAACAACTGAGACTATGGTCCCTAGCTGCCTTTCAGGTCTGGAATTGAATCCACACCTGTGGCTTCCAGCCAAATAAAAGACAGGCATAAGAGTTGAAAATGTACCTGAGGTAGATATCCCTTGGAGAGAACAATCATGGGAGAAAGAAGGGCTGTTTATGCACAGGGAGACAGCTTAGGGGGCAGGGGTGCATGGAGGGATGGACACAGGGAAGAGGTAATTATCTGAAGGAAGTGGGAGGGGAGGTGTTGCATTGGGGAAATTGTAGTCGATGTCATGAGACAAAGTATATGTGAACTGCTGTATGGAAAGTGAATTTGCTCTGTAAACTTTCACCCAAATCACAATTAAAAAAAAAAAAAAATCCCAGTGCAAGACTGGGGTCAGAGCTTTGAGCTGTGTGACCTTGGACAAGTCACTTAGCCTTTCTGAGCCTCAGTGTCCTCATCTGTAAAATGGAGGATGATCATTGTTGTAGTTATCATCGTGTTGTACAGCTGCCCCCTAGGGTTTCCTAGACTGTAACCTTTATAGGAGCAGGTCACCAGGTCTTTTCTTCCTTGCAGCGTCTGGTGGGTTCGAACTGCCAGTCTTTCAGTTAGCAGCTGAGTGCTTAACCATTGCACCACCAGAGCTCTCGAGGATAATAATAGATCTTACTTTATAGGGTTTTAAGGAGGTTTACGTGAGTTCTATATATGTATATAAAATCATTAGCACGGTGCCTGGCGGGTGGTAAGGTGTATGTTATCATCTGTTGTGTTGTGTTGGCTCCAACTGATTGGGACCCCCTATACAACATCACCAAGTGTTGCCTGGTCCTGTTCCATGTGCAGGATTGTTGGTATGGTTGTGTCTTTTGTTGCAACCACCGTATTGGACAGTATTCTGTTGTGATCCATAGGGTTTTCATTGGCTAATTTTTGGAAGTAGATAGCCAGGCTTTTCCATCTAGTCTGTCTTAGTCTGGAAGCTCTGCTAAAGTCTACTCACTATGAGTGACTCTAGGAGCTCTGGTAGCATAGTGGCTAAAGCACTTGACTGCTAACCAGAAGGCTGGCGGTTCAAACCCATCAGCCACTCCTCGGAAGGAAGGCTGGGCAATCCTACTTCCGTAGTGATACTGCCTTGGAAACCCAAGGAGGGGTCGCTATGAGTCGGGGCTGACTCGACGGCACATAACAACAACAACAACATGAGTGACTCTGCTGGTACTTGAAATACCAGTAGCGTAGCTTTCAGCATCACAGCAACATGTAAGCCACCACGGTATAACAAACTGATGGCTGGTGGAGTATGATACACAATTACCAGTTATTATCATTAATTAGTATCATTACTATCCTATAATAACTAAACAAATAATCCAGATGGCTTACAGGATTTTTGGCACCCAGAGAGCAGGGGTGATCAGGGAGGGCTTCCTGGAGGAAATGAGGTCTGAATCAGCACTGAAAGGAGGACAGGGACTCTGAGTGAGTTTTCTTTTGACTCGTTAAACTCCATCTACAAGAACTAGTGGTTTTGTTTGTTTCCAGGGCTCGGGGGGCTCTCTGGTTTCTCAAGAATCTCCCCACCTTGCCCTACCTCCTTCAGGAGCTAGATTGAGTCCCCCTCCTCACTGCCAAGGGGACTGCTGGTCTTAGTGTCATGTTTTGTGTGTTGAAGAGTCATGAAAGGGAAAGGACCAGCCTCTCCTAGAGATGCTGTGTCTCTTGGTGGAAACCATAAAGGTTGTAGGAGAAAATGCCCTGGGTTTTCACTTGGAACCTTGGATCTCAATGTTTAGACCCCCGGCTGTGTTGTGTGCCTCCTGTGTGGTCTTGGGCAATGTTAATAATAATGATGGTGTTACCAAGTAGAGGCTGAGGATTATTAATTATTTACCGTTCTAAGCATTTAAAATATATTTTCATTTTCCCATCACCTCTATGAAAGGGAAAGGGTGCTGATGTTATCCTCATAGACAGATGAGGAAACTGAGGCAAAGAGAGTTTAAGTGTGCTGCACTGGGTCATGTGGGAAGCTCTCAAGTGACATTGTGGGATCAGAATCCAGGCTGCCCTACTCCAGAACTCATGGCCACGACCATTCTGCAAGCTGCCTCTGGCTTATAAAGGGCTTGGCGTGTGGTTTATTAAGGTGACAGAGCTGAGATTTGAACCCAGCTCTGTGTGACCCTTAACTTCCACTAATGCTGCTTCCTAGTCCGTCCACTGCAGAATAGGTGGAACCATGGAAGGGTGGGAATGGTGGGTTCGTCTCCAACTTTGCGGGTCTGGGGTGG